TTATTTTATTTTATTTTATTTTATTTTATTTTATTTTATTTTATTTTATATTTTATTTCATTTCATTTTTTGAGAGAGAGAGAGAGAGAAAGGGTGCAAGTGAGCGAAGATTAGACAGAAAAAGAGAGAGAGAAGCAGGGCTTGAGCTCACCCGACGCGGGGCTCCATCTCATGAACCTGAGATCATGACCTGAGCTGAAGTCAGATACTTAATGACTGAGCCACCAGGTGCCCTGGGACTAAGCATTTTAGATGTGTTTGCTGCTACCACCATGCTCCCCAGCTGCACAGGACCAAGTTCTACACAATTCCGTGTTGACAGCAACTGGAGTTTGGAGAAAGAAGAGATAAGGAAGATTGGGCAGCAGGGGTGAGACTATCAGCCTTAAACCACCTGGTGCTCTCTTTCTTGCAGACAGAGGGGGTGAGCCCCCCATTCACAGCACGAGTACCCAGCTCTGCCTCAGCCTATGACCAGAGAGGACTGGCTCCTGGCCAGGAGTACCAGGTCACTGTCCGTGCCCTTCGAGGGACTAACTGGGGCCCTCCTGCTTCCAAGACCATCACCACCAGTGAGAGCTGGGGCTGAGGGAAGGGTCCTGGTTGGAGATTTGGATTTGAGAGGGGTGGCTGGGAATCTGTCCCCCAGGAAAGCAGAAGGGAGGAACTGGATGGTGACAGAGCTCTTAGAGTGAAAGCTGGTGACTGAAGAACTAGACTCCCACCTGATCCCTCTTCTCTCTAACCTGGCTAGTGATTGACGGCCCCCAGGACCTCCGAGTGGTGGCTGTGACACCAACCACACTGGAGCTCAGCTGGCTGCGACCCCAGGCTGAAGTGGACCGATTCGTGGTGTCCTATGTCAGTGCCGGCAACCAGAGGGTGCGGCTGGAGGTACCCCCTGAGGCAGATGGAACACTGCTGACCGACCTGATGCCAGGCGTGGAATATGTAGTGACTGTCACTGCAGAGCGGGGCCGGGCAGTAAGCTACCCGGCTTCTGTCAGGGCCAACACAGGTATGCCTGGCCAGGGGTTAGGGAAGGACCCAGTTTCTTTGTGGAGCAGCCCCTTCCTTGGGAGCCCATATCTAGGGTTCACAGGCTCCTCTGAATGCACCTGGGCAGGGCAGGGGTAGTCACAAATCACCTGCTGGGGACTTGCTCTGTAACTGGGGCACGGGAAGACAAAGCCCTAGGGTGCTTGGAGGCCTGTTGTAGGAAGGCT